TGTCCTCTCAAGTTCTTTTTTAAAAAATTGTAGTACAATACACGTAACATAAAATTTACCATTTGAACCATTGTTAGGTCCAGTAGTGGTATGTACATACACATTGTTATGCAATCAATCTCCAGAACTCTCACAACACTAAACTTCATACCTACTGAACAATAACTCTCTGTTCCTCTTGCCCACAACCCCTGGAAACCACCATTCTACTTTCTGTCTCAATGAATTTGAGTACCCTAGATACATAAGCGGACTCATAGAGTATTTGTCTTTTTGTGACTGGATTATTTCACTTGGCATAACGTCCTCAAGGTTCACCCATGTTACAGGGTATGTCAGAATTTCTGAATAGTATTCCATTGTATGCATAAACCACATTTTGTTTATCCATTCATCTGTAAATAGACCCTTGGATTGCTTCCACCTTTTGGCTATTGTGAATTCTCTTTGAGTTCTATGGAGAGAAGAGCAATTGTGTATAATCTACCTTGTAATATAGTTCTTAATTTGCTTGCGAAATTTCTTCTTATCTTTGCCTCCCACAGGAAAAAACAAATACACTTCTCCAGTTTTTCCTTGTAATGTTGGTCTCTACCCATTTCCTCATCCTCATACCTACTATACATGTCTCCAAATCCTGTTCATTATTTAAAGGAGTGATTGGAATGGTCTACACGATTTAGCTTGGAAAGTAAGTTCTCCTAGGACCTACGCCTCCCATCGTGCAGTTGAATTTCTCATATCCCTTCTCACTGCTTCTGTCTTCAGGCAGACCTCATGGGATTACTCACTGCACGCACCTTTGCGCTCCTGTAGCCTGCCCTGTATTTCTATAGACCTGTAATACTGGAAGAGAGCTTTCACTACCCATCCCAGGCCCCAACTTATACACAAAGCACAGTCATACTATCAGGTTGGTGCAAAAGTAATTGCAGTTTTGTCAATAATTGCAGAAGCCACAATTACTTTTGCACCAACATAATATGTACCTTACTCAGGTAAAGAAGAATGATTCTCAAGTTCTAGACACTTTGAAATGCAGTATTCCAACATACACATGGCTTTTGTTTTATGTGATAATGTGGTGCTTTGTTGAACATTAAAATCCAGTAAGATTTGCAGTAAGAAAATGTCTGAAAAATGTTTTACCCCATTCATTGACTTTTTTGAAAAACAAATATTTAAAGATTGCAATTTAAAGAATTCTGTTGTGAGTCCTGTTACAAAGCAGCCATTTTCTACAAGGTGTGGATTTATTTAGACTCTCGTTTCTTTTTGCAGAAAGAAGCTTGCAGGTAGCTTTTAGTTAAGCCCAACTCCCGACTCCCACCCCATACGAAATCAGTCAGTTTTCCTCATCCTGCAGATGACAGAAATGAATGTGTTTTTCTTTTGCAATTCTATTTTAGCTGTTTCCTCTTCAAACTCCTTTTATGTTGGATGGCTCTTTTCCCTAATCTATTGAGATTATTTAAAATATGGTGGTTTTTTTTTTCTTTTTTACTGGTTTTAGCAGTGTTTCCTCTGGTCCAGCGCAATGTATAGTCTCAATATCTGTGAAAGTCTCCTGCAACAATTCGCTGCCCAGCCCCACCCACAATCCTCCTTTCCCACAGGCCAATCAGAAGCTCCTGAGTGAAGTATTTATTATGCTATCTCTATTTTACTGGTCAAAATTGAGTGAAGTATTATACTATCTCTATTTTACTGGTCAAATTTGGAAATAAAGTAGTTGAAAGTGAAAGATATATAGAAAAAAAAGAGACAGCAATGCTGGCTTTTTCAAAAAAATAAATAAAATCAATAGATACTCTTTTTTATCACTTCAGTATAGTTGATGATTGCTTTTCAAGCCCAAAACTTTTCCACATATTTGATTAAATTTCCTTCACTGAGAAATTTCAACCATCTGTGGGTAGATCTCCTGGCTCATCTTAGACAAACGTAACGTAAGCTTTTATATTTGGCTGGTCTAGACAACTTTTCTGTTCCACAGAAGGAGTCACAAAGGAATGAGTTCTGTGCATTCATGTCACACAGTGGAATCTGCGTCACATAGGTGGTTATGGTAATGTGTATGTCTCCTTTGTGTCAACAACAAACTCTCTGGTCTTCGCTTACTCTTCCCCAGAACTTAAGGTCTATCTAAGAGGTGGATAATTAGGTATATTAAAAGTTATTTTGAAAAAGGAAGTTCACATTTATTTTAAGAATTAGAAAAAACTCAGAGGCCAGGCATGGTGGCTCACACCTGTAATCTCAGCACTTTGAGAGGCCGAGGTGGGTGGATCACGAGGTCAAGAGATCGAGATCATCCTGGCCAACATGGTGAAACCCCATCGCTACTAAAATATAAAAATTAGTTGGGCGTGGTGGCACACATCTGTACTCCCAGCTACTTGGGAAGCTGAGGCAGGAGAATTGCTTGAACCCTGGAGGCAGAGGCGGAGGTGGCAGTGTGCCAAGATCGTGCCACTGCACTCCAGCCTGGTGCCTGGTGACAGAGCAAGACTCTGCCTCAAAAA